AAAAAAAAGAAAAATATTTTGACTATAATACCATTTTAAGCAACTTTGCCATTGATTTTGATCTCTCCTTGGCAACGTATGTTTGTTGTCCAAAAATCCATGGATAATAAAGTGAAGGATGTGACACAAGTGTCAGCTATATGTGGCAAATAACAGCTAAAACTTTAAAATTTGGCAGACATCTGTGACTTTGTGATTGAGAAATTTATACACTTGGCTAACATTCTGTTAAAGAAAACTTGTCTCTGGCATCACTGGACTGTTTTTCAATGGTTTTCAGCCAACACATGATCAAACTAATTCTTAGATAAATACTTTTCATTGAATGTTGCCAAGAGAATGAAATCCCCAAAAGCATAATTCCACAACATATTAAGACTTTACTTTAGTACTTGTCTCTGTAAATGACTTGGTGTAAAAGTATAAACTAGGTGCAGACAGAGATAACATCTCTAACAACTCTATGCAGATTTTTGTACTTTAGGCCTCATTGGCACTGGCACTGTGGTTATAAGCATTTAGAGGACATTTAGAGGACACAAATATAAATGCAATTAATTATTTTTCAATGGTGCCTTTCACACTGAGCATTTATCTGCATTTAGGTGCAGTCAGTTTACAGAACATAGAATTCTCCATGTCCAGGATTTGTATAGACACTCTAAAGGTGGCTAAACGCTTGTAAACCTGACTTAACCTGCTTTAAAGCAGGAACATCTAAATGCAGAAATAAGCGATCTGGGAAGCATAAATGTTGTTTCTACTTCCCAGATAACATCTCCTGCATTTAGAAAAAGCTAATAAAGGCCTTACTACAAAGGAAGTTCCAAAAACATGCCTTAATAAAAAATGCCTTAATACTTTATAACAGAGGTGCAGCTTGTATATTGAACAAAGAAAGGTCATTGATCTAATGCTTCAACCCTGATAGTTTAAAAGGAAATTGGGCTTCATGCACACCAGGGAAGCAAAAAACTCCTATAGAAACGCTGGACAAAAAATACTGTTGTTTTAGCTTTTTTGCTTGCATTTAGCAGTGTTTAGCTTAGTGTGTAAGCTACATTTAGTAACTTCAGCATTAGGGAGTGGGGCTGCCATTGTTAAGGAGAGGGCTGGTAAGCCAGCTACTGCATACGTTTTTTTTATTTCTTTTTATTGAGAGGTTTAACATAGTATACAACATACAAAACATTAAAATCAAGCTGCCAGTCACCAATGGCGGCAAGCAACGTAAACCCCCCCCCCCAAAAAAAAAACAATAAAAACAGTAACCATGCCTGCAGATGTCGCAATAAGTACCTGTAGTAGGATGGGCATACAAAATACAATCAAGCAGTGCGACAAACTAAATCTAGTATACAGTATGTACCATTGCAGAGAGACCCCAATAGGAGAAAAAACTCATTGGAATATTACTCAATTGGAAACCGTAAGGGAAGATGCTACCCACCCGCCCCAAAACCTTGTGAAACTTGAAGAGTGCACCTCTATTAAGGTACTTAGCCTTGTATAAGGGTAACGTCTTATTAACCTGGGATTTCCAAGCCTCCATGGTAGGAGCACACGTTTTTTTTCCATGAGAGAACAATCAGTTTTCTAGCATGGAAGAAAAGTAAGGTAAGCAGTGTGCATATAGCTTTAGTGGGGGGCTAGGTCATCTACCAAACTTAGTAGGCAATGTCTCACAGAAGGGTGTGTAGCAGTATAATGGTAACAGCTTGAATGCACTGGAAGACCTCTGACCAGAACCCCTGTATAGCTGGACAATCCCAAAATATATGCATGAATTCAGCCCCATCCACCTGACACCACCGACAGGAGGAGAAGGCTGATCCAAAGATCCTAGCAATTTTTGCTAGGGTCATGTATATACGGTGTAAGAATTTAAAGTGTATTAGTTTGTCATGAGTGGAGACCAGCCTGGTGAAAGGAGCATCCCAAACGTCTTCCCAGTCCTCTGTGTCCAGGTCAGGGACCACTGCCTCCCATCTAGACCTATACACCTCCAGGAGTTTACGAGTTTCAGAGAAAAGTGACTTATTATTATATTACTATACAGGATTTATATAGCACCAACAGTTTGCTCAGCAATTTACAATATAATATATTAGGAGGGCCCTGCTCCTTGGAGCTTACAATCTAAGAGGGAGTGGCTAGTAGTACAAAAGGTAGTAACTGTGGGGGATGGACTGGTAGGAGGAGTAGAAGATTCCATTATTAGCTGAGGCCGGGGTAGGTTTCCCTGAAGAGATAGGTTTTCAGAGATCACCTAAAAGTGAGCAGAGTAGGCGATAGTCGGATTAATTGTGGTAGAGAGTTTCAGTGGATGGGGGAAGCTCTGGAGAAGTCCTGGAGACGAGCATGGGAGGAGGAGACAAGGGAGCTAGAGAGCAGGAGGTCGTGCGAAGAGTGGATAGTACAGTTTGTGTGATATTTGGAGACAAGATTGGTGATGTAATTTGGGGCAGAGTTATAAATGGCTTTATATGTTATTGTTAATGTTTTGAATTTATCCGTTGGGCAATGGAAGCCAGTGGAGGGATTGGCAGAGAGGGGTGGCAGATACAGAATAGTAAGTAAGAGTCTGGCAGCAGCTGTCAGGGCTCCCAGGTATGACCAGAGGTGTGTGACTGATGAAGGGAAACGCAGACTTCAGATATGTGATAAACAATACAATTTATTAACACAAACAATACAAACATAAACGCAGTGCAATACTAAACATAATACAGTGCAAACAAACCAAACCAAACCACCCACAGATAACAGTATATACAAGCAAGCGTCGTCAGGCAGGCCGGGTCAATATCAATTGGGCAGGTACGTACAGGGGGAGCAAGCAGAGAATGGGTCGGGGTCACAGGCCAGGTTCAGCAGGTAGCAAGCAGCGTAGTACAGAGGGTCAGGCAGAGGGATGGTCAGGGTCACAAGCCAGAGATCAAAACAGGTAACAAGCAGCGTAGTACAGAGGGTCAGGCAGAGGGACAGAAACAGGATGCAGGACAGATACAGGGCCCAGGACAAACACAACACCAAGGCAGAGTCTGTGGGTCTGGCCATCCCTTAAATACCCCAGCATCATCAGTTCCAGGTGTTAGCTGGCTGAAAGGTTGAGTCTCTGATTGCTGGGAGCACCCGCTGGCCAGCCCTGGTACTGCAGATCAAAAGGCAGGTGAGTCCCACCATTGCTGGCCAGTCCATTCCTAACAGTACTCCCCCCCCAAGGAGCGGCCTCAGGACGCTCCAAACAGTCCTAGCTGGGCAAAATGTTCCACCGCCCGGTCTGGTAACTGGCGGGATAACAAAGACTGGCACACCGGGCAGGACTCCGGGCAGCGGCACACCGGGCTGGACTCCGGGCAGAGGCACACCGGGCTGGACTCCGGGCAGAGGCACACCGGGCTGGACTCCGGGCAGAGGCACACCGGGCAGAGGCACACCGGGCAGCGGCACATCGGGCAGAGGCACACCGGGCTGGACTCCGGGCAGAGGCACACCGGGCAGAGGCACATCGGGCAGGACTCCGGGCAGAGGCACATCGGGCAGGACTCCGGGCAGAGGCACACCGGGCAGAGGCACACCGGGCAGAGGCACACCGGGCAGAGGCACATCGGGCAGAGGCACACCGGGCAGAGGCACACCGGGCAGGACTCCGGGCAGAGGCACATCGGGCAGGACTCCGGGCAGAGGCACATCGGGCAGGACTCCGGGCAGAGGCACATCGGATTACCAGGCGAAGCAGCAGGCAGCGGGCCACCAGGCGGAGCGGCAGGCACCGGGCCCCCGGGCGGAGCGGCAGGCACCGGGCCCCCGGGCGGGGCGACAGGCACCGGGCCCCCGGGCGGGGCGACAGGCACCGGGCCCCCGGGCGGGGCGACAGGCACCGGGCCCCCGGGCGGGGCGGCAGGCACCGGGCCCCCGGGCGGGGCGGCAGGCACCGGGCCCCCGGGCTGGGCGGCAGGCACCGGGCCCCCGGGCGGGGCAGCAGGCACCGGGCCCCCGGGCGGGGCGTCATGCACCGGGCCCCCCGGGCGGAGCAGCAGGCACCGGGCCCCCGGGCGGAGCAGCAGGCACCGGGCCCCCGGGCGGAGCAGCAGGCACCGGGCCCCCGGGCGGGGCGACCGGCGTCGGGCCCCCAGGCGGGGCGGCGGGCGCCGGGCCCCCAGGAGGGGCGACAGGCATCGGGCCCCCAGGCGGGGCGACAGGCATCGGGCCCCTAGGTGGGGCGACAGGCATCGGGCCCCCAGGCGGGGCGACAGGCATCGGGCCCCCAGGCGGGGCGACAGGCATCGTGCCCCCAGGCGGAGCGGCGGGCGCCGGACCCCCAGGCGGAGCGACAGGTCTCGGGCCCTCAGGCGGAGCGGCGGGCGCCGGACCCCCAGATGGAGCGACAGGTCTCGGGCCCTCAGGCGGAGCGGCGGGCGCCGGACCCCCAGGAGGAGCGACAGGTCTCGGGCCCTCAGGCGGAGCGGCGGGCGCCGGACCCCCAGGCGGAGCGACAGGTCTCGGGCCCTCAGGCGGAGCGGCGGGCGCCAGACCCCCAGGCGGAGCGACAGGTCTCGGGCCCTCAGGCGGAGCGGCGGGCGCCGGACCCCCAGGCGGAGCGACAGGTCTCGGGCCCTCAAGCGGAGCGGCGGGCGCCGGACCCCCAGGCGGAGCGACAGGTCTCGGACCCTCAGGCGGAGTGGCGGGCGCCGGACCCCCAGGCGGAACGACAGGTCTCAGGCCCCCAGGCGGGGCGGCGGGCACCGAGTCACCAGGCACAACCGTGGGCTCCGAGTCAACTGGGATGACCGCTGGCACTGGGTCAGACATTGGATCGTCTGGCTGGACAGCGGGCATCGGGTCACCAGGCATCAGGTCATTTGGCTCGACAGCGGGCACCGCGTCATCTGGCAAGGCAGTGGGCTCCGAGTCAACTGGTATGACCGCGGGCACTGGGTCAGACATTGGATCGTCTGGCTGGATAGCGGGCACTGGGTCACCAGGCATCAGGTCATTTGGCTCGACAGCGGGCAAAAAAATCTGGCAAGGCAGTGGGCTCCGAGTCAACAGGCACGACAGTGAGCACAGGGTCATCAGGTACCGGATTGTCTGGCTCGACAGCGGGCATCGGGTCACCAGGTATGACAGCGGGCATCGAGTCAACTGGCCTAATAGGATCGTCAGGCTGGATCAGTTCATCATGCTGGGTAGAGGCATCAGGCTGAATGCCGGCGTCCGGCTGAGTAGAGGCTTCAGGCCGAGTAGAGGCTTCAGGCCGAGTAGAGGCTTCAGGCCGAGTAGAGGCTTCAGGCCGAGTAGAGGCATCAGGCCGAGTAGAGGCTTCAGGCCGAGTAGAGGCATCAGGCCGAGTAGAGGCTTCAGGCCGAGTAGAGGCTTCAGGCCGAGTAGAGGCATCAGGCCGAGTAGAGGCTTCAGGCCGAGTAGAGGCATCAGGCCGAGTAGAGGCTTCAGGCCGAGTAGAGGCATCAGGCTGAAGAGAGGCATCAGGCTGCATACAGGCATCAGGCTGAAGAGAGGCATCAGGCTGCGTACCGGCATCAGGCTGAAGAGAGGCATCAGGCTGAGTAGAGGCATCAGGCCGAGTAGAGGCATCAGGCCGAGTAGAGGCATCAGGCTGAGTAGAGGCTTCAGGCTGAACCACGGAAGGCAGGCTCACCGGTTTGGATACTGGCAGGATGGTATTGGTTGGAAAGAATTTTCGCTTTTTTTTTTTTCTGGTTTTAACTACTGGAGCACTGCAAGTAAACGCAGGTCTGCAAACGAATGGAGCAGCTGGAGACAGAGAAGAACTGGAGGATGGAACAGGAGAGGGAGCGGTTGCTACAGAGGGCTCTTTTACAGGGTTAAAGGCAGGATAGGTGCAGCGAGTGGGAACAGGGTACTGACATGCGGTAGATAGCAGGGCAGGAGGAGCTGTTGGGAATGCAGGAATAGAGTTTTGAGGAAATAGATTAGAAGCAGGACTGGGTCTTTGTAAGCTGACTGAGGCTGGGTGCAACAAATCTGTCCATGTCTGCAGTATGGGTTGAACAAAGCTGAGCTTACACAAAGCCTGTCTGGTCAATGACTGTACTGCGTTTATACAATCTCTTAGTGTCTGTGGTGAACATGTGGAATAACGCTCCAGAAAGTAACCCACATCATCCTCTAATAACCACACCAGGGACTCTACCTGGTCTGCACTAAATGGTGGCAAAAATTCATCCCTGCATTCGGGGGAACCAGATGAAACCAACTCAGCACAAACCTCAATCAAAGGCTGCACCTCAGAGAACTCTGTGCCCTGATCTACTAGAACATGAGCGAGCCGTATACATTCTAGCAGTTCATCCCGGGTATACTCCTTCAGAGTTTGATAAGCATACTCCCTGTCATCAAACACTAGCAGATATAAATATTCAACCTCATCAAGATCCATCCTTCCCATCAACAAGCCAAGATGGCTTCCCTGTGCAGCCACTTCTGGTCAGGATTGGCCTTGGTGTAATGTCAGGGCTCCCAGGTATGACCAGAGGTGTGTGACTGATGCAGGGAAACGCAGACTTCAGATATGTGATAAACAATACAATTTATTAACACAAACAATACAAACATAAACGCAGTGCAATACTAAACATAATACAGTGCAAACAAACCAAACCAAACCACCCACAGATAACAGTACATACAAGCAAGCGTCGTCAGGCAGGCCGGGTCAATATCAATTGGGCAGGTACGTACAGGGGGAGCAAGCAGAGAATGGTCGGGGTCACAGGCCAGGTTCAGCAGGTAGCAAGCAGCGTAGTACAGAGGGTCAGGCAGAGGGATGGTCAGGGTCACAAGCCAGAGATCAAAACAGGTAACAAGCAGCGTAGTACAGAGGGTCAGGCAGAGGGACAGAAACAGGATGCAGGACAGATACAGGGCCCAGGACAAACACAACACCAAGGCAGAGTCTGTGGGTCTGGCCATCCCTTAAATACCCCAGCATCATCAGTTCCAGGTGTTAGCTGGCTGAAAGGTTGAGTCTCTGATTGCTGGGAGCACCCGCTGGCCAGCCCTGGTACTGCAGATCAAAAGGCAGGTGAGTCCCACCATTGCTGGCCAGTCCATTCCTAACAGCAGCATTCATGATAGACTGAAGAGGAGATAGCCTGCAATGAGGTAGGCCAATGAGAAGGGAGTTACAATAGTCAAGGCGAGAGATAACAAGGGAGTGAATAAGTTGCTTAGTAGTTTCCGAGGTTAAGAACGGGCGTATCTTGGAGATGTTGCGCAGGTGAAGTCTACAAGATTTGGACAGCGATTGGATTTGGGGCTGAAAGGACAGATGGGAGTCTAGGATTACACCTAGCACCCTCGCATGAGGGGAGGGATGGTTGTGTTATTGATCTTGATGGAGAAGTCGGGGGGGGGGCACGGGCTTGAGGGAATACTAAGAGCTCAGTTTTGGAAAGATTGAGAGTTTGAGGAAGTGGAGTGACATCCATGCCGATATGTCACTTAGTAGGTTAGTAATGCGAGAGGAGACTGAAGGGGTGAGGTGAGGAGTAGAATGATAGATTTGTGTGTCATCAGCATAAAGATGGCACACCTACAGAAAGACTTATAAATAGTGGACAAGGGCTTAGACAACTCATTATCCTGCAGTAAGGACTCTAAGTGCGGGGGAGAAAAGGAAACCCCAGAGGGCCCAAATTGTGCCTCATAAGCCTGCCACAATTGGATATATCGCAAAAACTGCTTATTGGGCAGGTAAAAAAAGGCCTTTAACTCATCAAAATGTTTTGACTCCATATTCCGTCAATACAATAGGGTCCTGATATGTGTAAAAATGGGGTAGGTTAGGATTTTTCCATAACGGAGCATGGGAGGAAGGAGCGAAGGGTCCCCCAAATTCAGCCCCGTGCTCCACAGACCAAGCCCTTATTACAGATCTCATGGAAACGGTCAAAACATATGGGGACTTCGGACCTCTGTGTACCAGATGGGCCAAGGCTTCATAGGAGCCAACCACAGCCGCCTCCAAGGCAACTGTAGCATCATCCTGGGGGCTCATCAACCATCTATGTGCGAAAACGAATTGACCAGCTACAAAATATTTATAAAATTTGGGTACTGCTAGACCACCTTCCTTCCCAGGTTGTTGTAGGATCCCAAGCCAAAGCCTGGGAACTCCACCTTGCCAGAGAAATTAAACCATGTATAGACTGGAAAATAGTATGGGGAATCCTCACTGGAGAGTTTCATAGTATATATAACAGAAGTGGAAGAAGTTTCATTTTGATCAAATTAACCTTGCCAATCATCGAGAGAGAGAGAGATTCCTCCAGGTACTGATCTCTTGCTTGAAATGGGAAAGGATAGGGGAAAGATTCAACCTTATAAAATCAGACACTGAATTAGTAATGGTTATCCCTAAATATTTTACTTGTGACACCCATTGGAGCAGTGAAACAGGCCGCACTGGCTACCTGCATCCCTGCCCAAAGGGAGAACTTTGGATTTAGGCCAATTCACCTGGAGACCAGAAAAGGAAGCTATATGATTTAATATGGATAGAGCAGATGACAGAGAGGCCCTAGAGTCTTCCAGAAAGAGCACCATATCATCAGCGTAAAGGCAGTTTTTTCTTCCACGCTCCCCACCTGCACCCCATGCACCAAGGAGGAGGCCTGAAAGGCCAAGGCAATGGGTTCCATCATCAAAGCAAAAAGCCCTACTGACAGGGGGCAACCCTGTCTGGTGCCACGGCCTACCAGAAAGAACTCAGAAAGTCTGCCACCAGTATTTATGGTGGCAACAGGATGATTATAGAGCAAACCTATCTAATGGAGGAACGCCTCTCCAAATCCCATACATGTCAGGACTGCCCGCATAAACCCCAATCACAGAATCAAATGTTTTTTCAAGGTCTAAAAAGACCAATACCCTCTGGGTGCAATCCAATGTGTGCAAATACCCTCTTAAGATTAATGTCCATGGCCTTACTGGACATAAAGCCCGCTTGATCTGGGGACACTAGAAGATCGAGGACTCTAGTAAGTCTGGTTGCAAGTATCTTAGTAAGGATCTTGAGATCCATATTTAAGAGGGCAATGGGCCTATAAGAGGGCAAGTGTAACAATTCCTTATCAGGTTTGGCTAACAAAATTACATGAGCTTCATAAAAGGACTGGGGCAAGGCATTGGTCCAAATGCATTCCCCATAAAGGTGAAGGAGCCTGGGAGCCAACTCTTCACAATATTGCTTATACCACTCCACAGGAAGCCCATCAGAGCCAGGGGACTTACAACTGGGGAAAGAGCCAATTGCACCAGCTACCTCCTCCTCAGTGAATGGAGCATCTAGCATGACCCTAGCCTCATCTGATAGTGTATGCATGGGTAAACCCTCCAGAGAGGTCTTGAGCTGGGAGGCATCATAAGGTGGAATGGGGGAGTATAAGGATTTATAAAAATATACAAATCCCTGGAGGATACCCTCTCCCAAGGTCTGAAGGGTCTCATCCTGGGAGTAAACACACAGTATTACTGTAGGTATGTAAGAATGAGCTGTCAGCAGGGCAAGCAATTTTCCATTTTTATCACCGATCTCAAAAATATTTTCGGCACTCCTGCGAGTTGAACACTGAGGTAGATTACGAGATAATGTAGTAATAAATTCCTCCTCACCTGCTGTAGATCTATGAGGGAGTCAGAAGAGGGATTAACCGCATGTTCATGGGCACAAGCCAATTCCGCTTCATGTAGAGCAAAGGTATCCTCATTTTGGCTCACACGAGCAGCCTTAATAGCCGAAATGTATTCTTCCCACGTAGAGGCCCTAAAGGAGTTCCAAACTATTTGGGGGGGGGTGGAGTCCCGCATTGATTGGCCAGAAGGTGGCTAAGTGTGCCGCTAACAGGGGGTTCAACTGCACCACCCAGCCATGGTGCAAACGCCAGGCACGGGAGCCTGGAGTGGTAGACAACTGTAATATAATTTGTAGAGGTGTGTGATCTGATACTCCCCCCACTAGGTATTTGGCTTCAGTAACCCAAGGTAAAAGGGAAGCATTCGTAAAGGCCATGTCCCAATATGGAGGAGGTACCGAACACATGCGACAGGTAGGAGAATTGTTTAGTACCAAGATGCTTCCACCTCCAAATTTTACTAAGTCCAGCAGAGTCAGCCCAAGCCGAAAGGTCTAGGTTAGGTCTTCTGGAAGGGTTGGAGGTATCAAGTGAATAGTCCAACATGTGATTACAGTCACCCATGATTAGGATTTTCAAGGGAATAAGAGAGGCCAATTTGTCTAAAATCGTGTATAAGATTGAGCCATTGAATGGAGGGGGGACATAAACATTTATCAAATCCAATTTTAGGGAATTCTGATTTCTTTTTTTTTTTTTTTTTAATAAATATTTATTTATTTTTCACATCATATATAAAAACAATTCAACATTTCTATTAAAATAGTTATCTGAACAATAATTCTCCATTATATAATTTATTTATATATATAACTTGCTTTTCCTTCCCCTCCTCCCATACACCCCCCCATCTCCCTTTCCCCTCCCATCCTCCCCACTCCCTCCCACGCTCCACCTTTTCTTCTTGTCTCATTAACTCCAACATATTTCTATTATTCCTATACCTCATTCT